TGTATCTTCTGCCAACAGCATTATGTAGTCAGCCTAACGTAACTTAACATTACCCTGTTCGTACATTCTAATAAAATTGACCGATTAAATGACGTTCAACCCCACCAGGACCGCACAAGGAGCGACCAACACCTTGTGACACAAAGCGCCACATTTCGGATGAGGATCACCCAGGCACAAGTCCCATAAACTCCGTTCAACCGTTACGTTATATTATCAGACCCGACGACAGACGGGGTAAGGCTTTAAAGTAACCAAAAAAAAAAAAAAATTGTAGGGATGGGAATATAAGTTATCTTCTTCTTCTTCACTTCCTCTTTTACCGCTGTGGGTGTCGAGGGAGATATAAGGTTCTGTTTCTAGCTCTTCTGGCTGCCTCGACCATAGGCACATCGTACTGTTGGAGAGTTTCTCTGATGTTATCCTTCTATTTTGTTCTTGGTCTACCCCGTGCTCTACGTCCTTCTTCTCTTCCCATATATAACTTATCAATATAATAAAATTGACTGGTTTTTTTTCTACCCTTTTTATCGTTTGCCATTGTTTTGACCCAACATATCCGACTTAGCAAGCTATCAGTCAGTCCTCTCTTATGAAAGGCATGCTGGTTGAAAGTCTAAGGTTAAAATCAGAATCAAGGCGAATTTTTCTTTTCAATGTTGACATTGGCTACAGTGTCATATAATGTAAATGAAAGTAAAGGCGGCTTACATGATTTTGGCCATATTAGCCATCCTATGTCATTTGGTCTTTTAAACAATATATGCTATGCATCTATTCCAGTATGGGTCATAAATAGGACAGTGCTCTTGAGGTCTTCATTGGTGTCCTGTAGTTTTATCTGGTAGGGATGCTCCTGTAGGCCAGATTTTTTCTTTCTGACTGGCAAAGTCTGGGAATTCATGTAAGAAAGACATGCTCTCGAGTTTGCTTTGGTGAGCCACAACCACATGCAGCAGCTAGAAAGACCCATTCAATGTAGGCTGGCTCTGAGTTTACAATGTACCATTCTGAGTCTGAAAATTTTAGTCTGAGCATTTCTGCCAATCCTGACCATAGGGTCTTAAAAACTGATTTAAGCGAACTGTCAGTTAGCCTCTGTATTTTACGAGTACTTGTTAAGAGGCACGAGGCTTCAGAACCCACTTGAGGAAGTGTTATTCTAAAGCACAACGTGCTATGGGATTGCAAGTTAACAAATATCTGGGGCTGCAAGAATTGAACAGTGCCTACAACATTTCTTGGTAGTACTTCATCATTCCCAAAGTGGTAGGTTCAAATTCGCTTGGATCCAGATTTTTCTCCAGACATGACCTTAAAACCCAGGTCGACCCAGCCATAAAGTGGTAGCAGGTAAAGTCATGGGAAGCAAAGGCAAGCGGTGTGATGTTGACTACACTGAGGTTAAATTTTGGGTCTAGAAAAATGTGAGGCTAGTCTCATATGCCTGTTGTGGTAATAGCATGTAAAGGAACCTTTAGTTCACCTTACCTTAGTGAGATGTGCGGAGGTACACACAGATCATTAAGGTCTGAAGAGAATAGAACCACGCAGAGTTACCAGGGAATCTGGCCAATGCTCAACACTTGAGGGAAAGGAGAGACAGATGCACAATCAGACAGTTACTGGTACCATCAGAATTGGAACTCTTCATTTGCTGCTGAAGATGGGGATGAAGCGCTTATGGGAGTGTTCCAAGTGCTATGATGTTTATTCGTAATTCACCATTAAACATTACCTCATCTTCCTTAGCTGAGGTCCCCAGGTGGTAGCTAATCCTTGTCATCCATTAGAATGAATAGGATTCTTAGAGGATTATGGGGCCAGTGTCTCCACATTGGATTAAGTACGGAGAAAGGTTAGTTGTGTATCCTTTACAGGACGTTGCAGAACCAACCCTAACAGCCCCTGGCTGTTGTGTGGTTTTTCTAGGCAAATTTACGTCCAGTAGTTTGTCATTGCTTTCTGGACGGCTGGCTTTCTTGATACCACTGTCGAAACCAACGCAAGGTGCATGGCCCGCAGCTGGGATCGAACCCGGCATTACGAGGCGTTCGCATCGACTTAGCCACAGAGCCGACCACTGAGAAATAGGAGTCAAAATTAGCACATCCAGGCACACCCTACATATGAGAAGTCTTGTCAATCAGATTGTAACTGGCACTGTTAGCAACTGGATACTAATGTGTATGTTGAATGCAGAGACTGAGCACACCCTCCCCCCCCCCCCCCCCCCCCCCCCCCCCCCCCCCACCCTCCACACACACACACACATGGGTGTGTCTGGAATTAGGTGAGGATAACTGAACTCATAATTATTCTCAAAAGATACGATAATACTAGTAATGTTACTGCTTGTTTTATTTATTTATGGCATGTCATTTGAACAGAAATTAATACTGACAAATGCAGACTATAAATCAATAATATTTCAAATATTTCATTTTTGTCCTTCTAGGACAGGAAAGTAACAGTATAACTGAATAATGATATTCCTTCAAAGTCAGACTGCATCTGCCTGAGAGTTAAGGAAACAACAGTCTGCACATAAATAAGTCAGATCTGTAAAGTGGTTGTGCACACAAAACTCAAGCCCTGGAATAAGTCTAAAATCCATTCTGGACAAAGAGAACTTTCTGCCTGAATTTACACCCAGTGAATGTTAAGAAGAAGACAAGAAGAAGAAGAATGATTTGTCTGGTCTTGTTGTCCGTTTTTGCCTTTTAGGCTGTTGACTGAAGGTTTAACTACTCCTGAGACAAAAAGAATTTAATCTTGGATGGCAAACCAGCTGGACAAATCCCAGGTATTCAAAGAATAGCTAGCCACCTTATGAGAGTGTCACACAAAGCATGAACATCGTAGCTCTGGTAATGATCCCCAGGGGTTTCTGTAAAAACTTTACTGGTTAACCGAAAGACGCAGCCGGGAGATGAAACCCCAAGACCTTCAGAACATGAAGCAAATGGCTTGACCACTTCAATACAAAGACCACAATGATATAGACAGTGATATAGAGAATGGTCTTCTGACCCTGACAGTAAATAAGTATTGGACCCTTTTTATGCCAGTGGCACACTGGCCTTGTAATTATGCAGACCAATCAACACTCAGTAAGTTATGTGGTCAAAATCATGCTAGCCATGTTTACTTTTCAGGACATTAACTAGTGCCCATTTTAGACTGGGTCACCCTGGAAGCCAAGGTCATTTTTTGAAGAAACAAAAACAGCCATGATGTGGATGTAAACCCTAGATATTCAACCTGGCAGGTAAGCATCTAGCCACTATGCTATCATGGCTCCCCTGCTTGTAAAAATAAAAAGGTTTAAAGATGAGAGGATTCATTGATAGGGGCTCCACGGACATTGCTTGACCTAATTTATGAGTGGCTGAATCTTTAGCACCAATGAGAATCCCAATGGATCTGTGAAAAAATTGTATTCATGAACAGAATGACAGAATTAAAAAAAAAAAAATGAGTCCACAAGTTTTGCAGAATCTCTTTTCCTCATTTTCATTGACATTAGTTTTCAGATGAGAAGGCCACAGTATGAAGACTGTGGTGTGACACAAATCCTCCACTGATACATACAGTTTGGTTTCCACAGAAAGGCTAACTGGCTAGAACCAAGTTCACTTTACTGCATGTAAAGAGTATATCTGCAAAGTTCAGCAATCTGTCAACATGAGGTGTGGAGTCTGTTTTCTCCTGTTCTCAGTCTAAATACTATGGTCTATTTATGTCCCAGGACCCCATGGGGAAAGAGAGGGGGGGGGGGGGAGACCCACTACCCCTCAAACAAGCATGTCATTAAAGGTGACAATTTAGGGATGTTTCCTTACAAGTTGGCGTGCATCTGCCCAAGACGTAAGGAACCAACAGTCCACATACAAATAAGCCAGATATGTAAAACTGATGTGCACGCAAAACTCAAGTTCTGGAACAAGACCAAAGTCCAGAAGTGGACGAACAACCATAATTTTTCACCAGAGTTTTCAGCCAGTGAACGCTGAGAAGAAGAGGAAATTTCTTCTATGAGGAGACTGATTAGATAGATCATCAGGATTAAACTATTACAGGAGACAAATAGTTTGATCACTTCACTATGGAGACCACACCACTGGTGGAAAGTACAGTAGTCATCACTGGGCTCTGCAAAACTAAGGTCTTTGGGCATTACTCCTAATGAGACTTAGGAGTGTCAAGAGCAGTTTCAAAACTAGTGAATGTCAACCATCTCTAGGCATAAGGAAACTGAAAATTTTGTTTTCAGTATCTGTTTAAGAGTGTCTCTTAGGGTTTCTGACACACTTAACTGTCCTTAATACAAAGTTCATTTTATTATTGCATACTTAATCAAGGATTTAAATCAAGGATTGGAAACATGTTTTCTGACAAGCACCATCTAAATATTTATAAATTCATTTGCAGACCCAACACAATTTTAAACTTAAAGTGTGTCAGCCATTTTGAGTCTAAGATTTTATTAACTCACTCCCTTAGTGGTATCTGGAATTGCTTATCTCTGGTGATTCACTTAACTGTCTTTGTGCAAAGATATTCCTCAAACATTCATTAGGTAGTTCAAAGAAAGATAACTCTTCTAGCTTTCCTATGTTGCAGATGTTTTCTACATGAATTAGCTGTATCCTAAATGTTAACTAAATTTTTTCAATTCTCTGGTGTTGTTATTAACACTCTTAATAACCCAACACGGTTTCTGTGAAGTAGATCTTCCCAAGATATGAGTTAAACAAATTACTGATTGGTCTGAAAGAGTTAATTTAAACTTATATTGCTATGAAAGAGTAGATTTTATAAGTTCAATGTCCCAACTGTAAGTGCTTTGGCAGAATCAGAATAAATGATTCTGTTGGTATCATATCGCACCACAAGGGTAAGCCACTCTTGATTTGTGTTCTCTTATGGGGAGTCTGTGTGATTGATTTCCACAGACCATACAATGCTATAAATGTATGATCACAGTGCTTATGGAATTATGGGAAATTGTAAGTTAGTCTGCTATCTCGTAAAACTATAGTGGCATTTGGTTCAACAGACTGGTTGCAGAGAGATTTATCATCCTCAAGTACTGTATTTAGGTGTATCAGTTTCATGAATTCTGCAGGAACATTAATCACATTTGCAAGGTCAATTTTTAAGGACTCTGTTGTCAGTGCAGGATCAAGGGTTAAGTTCAAATGAAGACCTGTTCCTTGAGGCTGTTCATAGAGCAGTATGATTTTGATTAGAGGAGACGCTTCTGTAAAATAAAAATAAAACTTTACATTTATTAATATGCAAAAAGTAGAAGGAAAAAAAAGAATGTACAACTTGGCTTTAAACTATGTATATGTGTGTGTTTGTGTATACATATATGTGTGTGTATGTATGTAACTATGCATATGTGTGTCTATATATATTCGCAATGCCCAAGTCACATATACATAGTGGAACTCCAATATATTTGTCCACACCAATATTCATCTTTTTCTTCTTCTTCTTCTTCTCATTCACCAGCTGTACACTCTGGCGGAAAGTTCTGGTTGCTCATCCACTACTGAACTGCAGTCCTGCTCCAGAACCTGAGTGTTGCGTGTGCATCAGATTTACAGATCTCATTCTCTTGAATACAGACTGTTGGTTCCTTGCCTCTCCGGTAGATGCACTCCTAATTCAAAGGAAGCTCCCCAATTAGTCGACTCTTACGACATGCTTTTGGGGAGGCAGTGGGTCTTTTCTTGTTTTCCCCTTCAATGGGGCATCGGAACCCACACAGGGGATTCATCTTTTTAAAAATTCACCCAAAAAAATCAATTTTCGTCTAGCAAGGTGGATCATAGAATGGATTTCTAAACACAAGAGCTACTCAAGCTTCAAAAAAAAGAATAGGAAGCTGAAGGAATAAGAGACAATTTATCAGACAAGGAAAAGAAGATGATGGTCCGGTTGCAAGCGTTGAAAATAAGGAATGGCTGCTCACCTGTGTCTAAATTATAGTTTTCATCTAGAAATGGCACCCAAACATCAATACAGTTAATCAGCGTATTAATTCATTTGATGACGATGTGTTTGCACACTTTCAGAAATAAAAAACAAACAACTTTAGATGCCTACTTAAAAAATACAAGTGCTGGTGAACCGTCTGGAAATGCTAAAGAATTATCCGGACATCAATTACTAGAAGTGACATTACCTAAAATATTAGCCGCTGTGTTTTCATCTACACACACGCATGCATGTGCACACACAAACACACACAGACACATACAAACACACACACATATGCAATAGGGACTTTTTTTTTACACCATGAGGGATATTGGGAGAGTATACGTGTGTGTGTGTCTACCTACACATACACACATATAGGTTATAAGAGACACATTTCCACACCATGAGGAATATCCGTTACACACAAACACACACACATATATATAGGTGATAAGGGACATATTTCCATACCATAAGCGGTATTAGCATATGGTGCTAGTGATATTTTTGTAGTCAGGATACATATTAAAATGGTTACTCACCAGGATGAAAGTAATCTCCCTTGTCATCATCTTCATGATCACCATCAAACCCTACAATAATAATTTAAATCATTTTATATTAAGCATATTATCATAGGGTCATCATATACGTTTTACATTACATATTTTTAAAAGATAAAGAACCTGTTAAATCATTTAGAAAATTTAGGAAAATAAACCTGTGGTTGGTTATGTATTGATGAAGACTACTTTCATCCAAAGCAGTAATGATCAATGATTCTGAGTATGAAGGTGGCTGATTAGTCCAAGTGAGCCTGGAAAGTTCTTAAGCAGTGCGCACAACAGATGGAAGCCGCAGTAAGTGTGGGATAAGCAGTACGATTCTTTCTAGTCTGCCTCTCTCTGGCTGTGCAACCTTCGCCGATGCACCACGCCATCCAGAACGGTCTTGTGCAGCAGCCTCTCACATCGCTGTGTTGATGCCAAGAGAATTGCGAGCAGTCTTCAGAGTGCCTGTATAGCACTTTCTCTGTCCTCCCTGAGACCTCTTCCCTTGCTAGAGCTCGCCATAAAATACTATCTTTTGGAGGCGATATTCTGGCATGCTGTTTAGGTGACCAGCCCAACACAGCTGACAATTTTTCAGTATCATGTGGTAGCTATTTACCCTATAAAGAACCACAGTATTTGGGATCTTATCTTGCCATTTGATTTTAAGCAGCTTTCTGAGACAGGTTATATGAAACTGATTCAACTTTTTAGCATGGCACTGATACATAGTCCAGGTTTCGCAAGCGTAGAGCAGTAATGGAAAAAATTACAGCTTTGTAAACTTTTAGCTTGGTCAGCAGGGAGATCCCACTTCTGTTCCAGACACTGTTATAAAGTCTGCTGCTGGCTTTAATATTCTAACATTGATCTCATTGTCGATGTTGACTCTCCGAGATAGGGTAATGCCAAGATAAGTGAATCTGTTGACTACATTTAGCTTTTGATCATTTACTGTGGTAGTGTGATCACAGTCATTTTTTCTGGGAGCCGGTTGATAGTTGGTACAGGCTTCAGAAAATCTATTGATGATGTGCTGCATACTGGCCTCAGAACTGGAGTTTAGAGCGCAGTCGTCATCAAATAAATGGTATCTAATTGTAGTTGTTTTAGTTTTTGTTTTAGCTCGAAGTCTCTTCAAATTAAACAAGCTGCTTGGTTATGTATTAAGCAATGAATAAACTTATAACCAGTTGCTTGATATAAAATTAATCCGATTTTTAAAAATATATTCACACTGACGTCTGAAAGTATATGAAACAGAAACCTGCCAGGGATTCTCAGAGCTGATAGTCCAAACAGATGCAGAGTTCATAAACCATGACATACGAAGGAAAGGAAACAGACCCATCTGTCTGTATACTGCCACACTGGAAACCCCTAGGCATGTATGTGGAAAATGTCATAAGAAACTATGGTGGATGCGGAAGTACACTGCAATAAAAGTCTAACATGCAAAAGACGCAAAGTACTCGTTTTGTGGAGGTAATTAAAATCTCAGGTCTGCAGACCGCCTACTGCTGGCTTCTAAAGACATAGTCCATGAGGAATCAGGTTAATTAGTTATCAGGACAGGATGATTCTTTGGGTGAGCCCAGTACCAGAGCACCATGTATTGGCTCTGCATTTATGGCAGCCTACTTGGATGGTGAGGAATGCTCATGTTCTGTCCCTGCCTTCTCTTGAGGGCTGATAAGCATTACATGGCTTCTCTGGATCGGCCCGATGTGAGGCACCATATGTGACCCTTGAAACAAAGAAGACCACACAATAATAAGACTGCAATGTCCCCCAAAACCAGCCTGTAAGGCTAACCCGGTCAACAAGAGCCTGCAGTAGTCAGATGTGTCAGCCAAAAGGTGCAAATATTGCAGCCATGCTGTAAATGGGCATAATGCAATTATATCTTTGGATGAACGCAGAAAAAAAAGAAGAATTAATCCCTTTGCTTGTAAACTTTTTAAAAAAAAGAGGAGTTCTTCACTTTTAGTAACATTTCTAATTTAGATTCTTGGATCTCTTGATAAGACTCAAGTGAGGAGCATCTCTGTGTGGGTTCCGGTGCCCCATTTGGGGGGAAGGGGGGGGGGGGAAATTGACCCACTAAACCTCCCTTCCTCCCCCCCCCCCCCCCCCCCCCCACAACAAGCATGTCATACAAGTTGACTAATTAATGGTGTTTTCTTTGAAGTCAGAGTGCATCTGCCTGAGAGATGAGGAACCAACATTCAGCATACAAATAAGCCAGATCTTTTATACAAATGTATATGTGAAACTCAAGTTCTTGAACAAGACCAAAGTCCAGAAGTGGATGAACAGCCAGAATTTCTCCTCACAGTTTACAGGCGGTGAATGCTGAGAATAAGACAAATCCTCCATTAGGTCTTTCCTCAGTCAACTCACACCAAGCCTTCCTACATTTGGCCATCTCTTGAGCTCTGACCTGTCCACCCTTAATCAGCTCAGATCAAGCCTTCCTACATTTGGCCATCTCTTGAGCTCTGACCATGTCCTCCCTCAATCAACTCACATCAAGCCTCTCTACATTTGGCCATCTCTTGAGCTCTGACCATATCCACCCTCAATCAACTCACATCAAGCCTCTCTACATTTGGCCATCTCTTGAGCTCTGACCATGTCCTCCCTCAATCAACTCACATCAAGCCTTCCTACAGTTGGCCATCTCTTGAGCTCTGACCATGTCCTCCCTCAATCAACTCACATCAAGCCTCTCTACATTTGGCCATCTCTTGAGCTCTGACCATGTCCTCCCTCAATCAACTCACATCAAGCCTTCCTAAATTTGGTCATCTCTTGAGCTCTGACCATGTCCTCCCTCAATCAACTCACATCAAGCCTTCCTAAATTTGGTCATCTCTTGAGCTCTGACCATGTCCTCCCTCAATCAACTCACATCAAGCCTTCTTACATTTGGCCATTTCTTGAGCTCTGGCCATGTCCACCCTCAGAATTATTTATTTGTGTCTCTAATTCTCTTCTCCATATATTCTTGTATCTCCCTCTTCTTCCTTTACTCTATGGGTTCCAGAGAAAGAATGTTCTAATTATACTAATAACAAGCTTTCTCAATATGTGTCCAATATTTCGCCATTATCTTTTTATCACCTCCTGAATCACTGGAATTTGTTTTGTTCTCTCCCTAAACTCCACATATGTAACTCTGTTATTCCATTTTAGTCCTTCAATTCTATGCAGGCATCAGTTAATAAATGGTTGAATCAATCAAACCAATTCTTGGGTAGCAAAAGCTATTTTTATCCAGTGTCAATGTAGAAGGTCTTTCACATCCTCAGTCCATCTTCTTCTAGGACGACCTTTTGTATATCAGCTTGTTCGTGTGTAATGCCTGTGTTAGCAGTTGTTGTAAGATGACCAAACCATTTGATCTCCTGTTTCTCAATGAATATGGTGCCTGGGTTTGTTCCCAGTCTGTCTGATAGCAACATTCCTCACTTTGTCTCAGACGGTTAACAGCATTCCTTAAGCATCTTATTTCACATTTGTTAAGTTTAAGCAGTTTAATCTTTGATAATGTCTGAGTCTGGTACCGGTAGCACAGTATTGGTATGAACATGCTGTTTAGTCTGTTTTTTGGCAGTATATTTATGTTTGGATGTCTTAATAAAGATGTCAGCTGGTATTTATGTTCACTGGCTTATTGGCATCTTTCTTTTTTCTTTTTCCTGATCTATTCTTCCGTCATTCAAGAAAATACTTCCTAGATATTTAAACTAAATTCTTTAACTTTTTTTCAGACAAGAACTATTTAACCCGATAGGCAGACAACTAGGAATTACTTCAGTTTTTGTCATATTTACTTTCATGTTACACCTTCTGCATGTTGAACTTAACCTGTTCAAATGGTCTGCTCTCTTAATGTAAAACAGGAAGTGATCATCTTCAAATTGTAGCTCATTTATTGTGAGTCTTTCTATGGAAAGCAAGTTCTTTATTTTAAGGGTTGACTATTTAATTCTGGCTTTTTAAAATAATCTGTCAATGCATATAATGAATAAGAGCACGCATCTTTGCCTCACCCCACTAATGGTTGTAAACATATCAGATATGCCTTCTTGTTTTCTCACTGCTGACAAACAGAATGAGTTAACACTAAGGATTTGGAAAAAGGGGGGGGGGGGGGGAGGACACAGCAGTAAGATATGTTTCATAACTCACCATTACTTGTGAGGATACGGAAAACAGTCGCCACATGTGATGGATGTGAAAGGTTCATATTTCTGCGTCCTGGCAAGCTGCTGACAATGGAAATGTTTAGGTAAAATGGTGCTACCAGATTAATATTAAACCAAAAACTTATGTTGAGTAAACTGTGTTACATTCACTTCTTTCCATACATGTACGCTTTCTTTTGGGAAGGGAGGGTGTAGTGCAAGGCTATTCAACTAAGATTACTCAGGGGCCAACATGTTGAAAAGGGGGATAATCATGGACCTGGTGTTAAAAGATCACTAACGAAATACAACAGGCTCTAATCCTAGGAAGGGGGGGTGGGGGAAATTGCTAGGACTTTGAGGGCCGGATTAGCCTGTGGGCTGCCAGTTAAATAGTCCTGGTGTAGTTAGTGCTCTTGGCTACCAAACAATGGATTAGCTTACACTGGCTGTCCTGGTGATTTTATTTGTAACTGTTCTTTTTAGCCAGTCTCCATGTTAGTGCGCCTCACTAAATAGGGCACTTTGATTTTATAGCTAAATATTCTAAATTTAGCAGTAGGCTTAACCCTTAATGAGATCTGTTTTCTTTTCTCATCTATGCCATGTAGCCAAGTCATCCATGTATTTACCTTTGTCTTTCTTTTACTCTTTTCCCATCAAGTGTGCCAGTTATCACTTAGTTTGAAGTTGCTTTTTTCTCCTCACAAAATCTTTGAAGAAAAAAATCTGATTCAGATCTAAACACAGGACCTTCAGTCCGGAGTCAGATGTCCAGCCACTATACCTCTCTCTGTATGATCATTATGAGTAAAATCTGTGCGAGGTAACTCAAAATGTTAACTGTTTGTTGTTAATAAAAATCTGGAAGCAAATAAAAATCATTTACAGTTTCTTTTATCGTATATTGTAAAATTAATTGAATGATTTTCAAACCTCTCTTCCACGTGTTTGTTCGTAAGCCTAATTTTTGGAGGAAAAATTATAGACCAACTGACCCATAATAAGCATGTCATAAAGGGGAATAATTATGGTGGTTTCTTTGAAATACATCTGCCGGAGAGATGAGGAACCAAAAGTCTGCTTAAATAAGACAGATTTGTAATATAAACGTACACACAAAACTGAAGTTCAGAAGTAGATGAACAAAAGATGTTGTAGATTCCTCTGGGTTTCTTCCGCCCAAATTCTGTTCCTCTGCAGTCAGTTTAGTATGCTGATTATGTATATTTTATAGACTATTAGTGGTGAAAATTATCGTCCCTCCATTTTTATTTTACCAAACCTGGCAACCCTACTACTATATGTCATATTAAATGTTTCCTAACTTCTTGTGTGACATGCTCGTGTACCCTATTGTGGGTCCAACGCACCACTCCCCCCCCCCTTCCCCACACACACATACCACTACCATATTTTCCTGAATGATACACTGACTATTAGTTTTTGTCTTATAACAATATTTAGCTTAACTGATAAGGACATAGAATTGACTTAGGTGGAGACAGAATTTCCGACTGAAAGTACTAAAGAAAAAATAGTTTAGTACTGATAGATTAAAATACATCACATAGTTATGTCTGACACATCTGTCTATATTTAAACAGTTTAAATTAAACTGAATGCAAAAGATGTAAACTATAATCATTCAACGAGTTGAGTTCAGTAGCAAAATCTTCATTTGAATTTTTTTTTAAGCTAATTATGTGTCTTCTGATTCAAAAAATATTCATGAAAAGGAAAAATGTTTTACCTTTGTGCATTTTAATTTTAACCAAAAAGCTACAGTTAATACTAACATACTGCAAAATTTATAGTCTGGCATATTTCGTTGTAACTCCTTATTTATGTGCTTTATTTTAATCAATTGTTACTATGGCATGCACATGACGAGATACAGCAATGTCAATAAACTGTGCATTCTATTATTTGTGCCTTCTTTGTTCAAATATTTAAGAACATTACAGAAGCTAAATAAGTACCTCTAGCTGAAGCCTGAACTACTTCCTTCACAGTGTTGAAGGATGTAGTTGAAGCTATGTGTAAGTACATTATGGGGACTCAGATAGTGGTAACTGGTATGTAATCTTGACACTGGGTTAAACGGGGAATCCCCCAGGTGTTTCCCTTGCAGGGAATCGATTCCGATACCCAAGTTAGCGACTACATCTTTCCGAGTACAAGCTAGGTTTTGGTTTTTGTACTGTCGTCTCTCTAGATAAAGCGACAAACGGCCGTTTTTTTTTTTTAAATAGTAATAATTATACACGAACGTGGACATAAATAACAAAAAAAAAAAAAAAACGAAACAATAGAAATAAAATGTCTCCTTAATGTGAACAAAAGAGACAGAATCAGAAAGGCTATTTCATGAAAAAGGTTGGGACGGAACCAGTATTAAAACTACACCAATAGATAACAGAACAAATGGTTTGGACATCAGAAAGCCTTGTCACTTAGATACAATGGAAGCAGAACCAGAGGTCGACGATGCAAGCAATAGATATATAGAATATCCGAGGTATGAAACACTAACAAATGCGCACTCAATGCCTCTTCAAAACCTAACACCTGAAAGGAAGAAGAAGAAGAAGAAGAAGAGGACGAAGAAGAAAGAAGAAGAAGAAGAATGATAAAAGAACACTTTCTTTGTGCTCGGAAAGATAAGCTGCAGAAACAGTTAGATATGTGAGCAGGCTTGATAATTTTGGGCGAGGAGAGGAGTGAGTCAAAGTGTTGGAGCAAAAATCAGACTTCTTTGTTCTAATCACTTTGGGTAAAGAGTACAGGCCAGCTGGTATTGCAGGATCAGAAGTTCAAAAAATGATTCATGACAATTTCCGCCCAAGAGGTGTGTTTAACTATACAGATAGCTCTGTGTTGAGGGGCAGACGAAATGCATAGCAAAGGCGAATGGACGTCGCTCATGGCAGCAAAGCCTTGCATATTATATCACATCGTAGAGTTTGAGAATGGAGGTGGAGGCAGTCAGTGCTGCCTTCCGCTTGCTTGAGAATCAGCTGTACATGTCGTAACTGTAACTGACGCACAGAGCATGTTCAAAAAGGCGGAGAGGGTATGCTCCGTGCAGAGTGGCAGGCATCGCTACAAAGGTCCCGGGTATTTTAGGTCCTTTGGATATTTTCTCCAGGTCATGCTGGTGTGTTGGGAAATGAGCAGGCAGATAAGACTGGTCGGTTCTGCACCCCTTGGTGGCGAATTGATGTATGCCAAGCTAGATGTTGTGATGGCCCTTTGGGAGCGAGTGAACAGTGGCGATGCACAAACAGATCATTACGGTCTGAGGAGAATGGCGCTGCGTGGAATTACCAGAGGAAATGGCCGACGCTCAACACTCAAGGGAAAGGCGAGACGTATGTACAATCAGACAGTTCCAGGTACCATCGGAATTCGAACTCTTCGTTTGCTGCTGAAGATGGTGATGGAGCGCTTATGGGTGTTCCGGTGTAATGATTCGATTCTTAATTCAACATTTAAGCCTGTGCTCTAGATCGCCCTAACCATATAAGACTGCAAGTCACGCCAGGATGGCATAGCCAGTTACCAGTGCCCGAATTATAACAGGTTGAACAGGGTTTCTTTTCTCTTTTCCAGAGACACCCCAGTGGTGTGTATGCGATACATCCTTGGTTTGCCGACGGTTGCAGGTAGGCACAAGGTGCTGCAGGCGAAGTCATATCTCAGGGTAGCTGCAGACACAGACCACCCTCTGCATGAAGCTCTGGGTGCAGTTAAGGGTCAGCGGCTGATAAGAGGGAGGTCATGGATGGCCCAGGCAGAAGACACAGTCAGACAGGTTTGCATCCTTGAGAACATTAGGCGAGGAGAGGAGTGGGTCAAAGTGCCACCTGAACAGTCAGACCTGTGTAGAGTCATAATCACGCTGAGCCGGTTATGCAGAGACTGGTCAGCAGGTGCCACAGAGGTGGAAATTCAGCAATTAATTCAAGATTGTGCTCGCTCAGAGGATTTGATCATTTACACAGACGGTTCAGTATCAAGAGGCAAAAGAAGTGATTGAGGCTTCTTAGCAAAAGTTAATGGTCGACGTTTGGTGCAGGAGAGCCTAGCATATGATACCACAACATCCAGCTTAAGAATGGAGATGGAGGCGGTCACTGCAGCTTTCCGCTGGCTAGAGAACACGACACACACACACACACACACACATCGGGATTGTAACTGATTCAGAAAGCATGCTGAGGAAGATCAGAACAGGTATGCTTCGTGCAGAGTGGCATGCTTCGCTGCGGAGGACACGAGTGAGGAGTATTGTCTGGATTTTTTCACCGGGTCCGCCGGTGTGTTGGGAAATGAACAGGCGGAAGACTGGCCGGCTCTGCACAACTTGGTGGAATATTGATACATGATAGGGCAGACGTGGTAAGCGCCTTGTGGGAGAGCGTGTATAATTCGGAGGAGCAGATGGATCACCATAGTCTGGTGAGATTGATGCAGCGGGGAGTGACGAGAGGTTCTGGCAGAAGCTCGAGGCTCAGAGGAAAGGCAAGACGGACGTTTAATCAGAAAGCTACTGGCACCATTAGTATCGGTCGGTTCTTAAATCAAATCAAATCAATCAAATCAGGGTTTCTTGGCTCTGCCATTGGTCTGCCGTCTAGTTTATATTGTTGAATCTCAGAATAGTATTTCAGCTTCTTCTTTTTCATGTTCACCGGCTGTAAACTCCGTAGTCGACTCTTACGACGTGCTTTTGGGAAGGCAGGGGTTCTATTTTTGTTTATCTTACAACGGGGCCCCGGAACCCACACGAAGAAGAATAGTATGATAAACTTTTACGTATCAGTCCCAATGAGACAAACCTCGCCCTTGGCTTCCTGTACATAATATTTGTTTAAGTTAAGGCAGATTTAACTATTTCACCTCTCCCGTCATATCTGTAAACGGTATTATCTTTTCGGTTCAACAAAACACTTTTCATTCTTAGCCTCTTTAACACATTCATATTTTTGTTTTTGTTGGTTTCCATTAAGTTACAGCCATCAAGATAGCAACAGACAAACTGCTAAATGCCAGTCAT